TCTCCTCATTGGCTTTTTGGACCTCTTTTGCCATTTGGGTTAGGCTATTTTTTAAGGTGTTATTTTCTTCAGTATTTTTTTGGGTCTCCTTTAGCAAGCTGTTAACTTGCTTTTCAAGATTTTCTTGCATCACTCTCATTTCTCTTCCCAGTTTTTCCTCTACTTCTCTTACTTGCTTCTCAAAATCCTTTTTGAGCTCTTCCAAGGCCTAGGACTGATTCATATTTTTCTTAGAGGTTTGGGATGTAGGAGCTTTGACTTTGTTGTCTTCTTCTGGTTGTATGTTTAGATCTTCTTTGTCACCAAAGTAAGATAATGTAGTCTGACTCTTTTTGTGCTGCTTGCTCATGATCCCAACCAATTACTTGAGTTTTAAACTCTTTGTTAAGGTAAGAGTCTGTTTCCAATGTGGAGAATGTACTGTCCCAAGCTTCGGGGGTTTGTACAGCTGTTTTCAGAGATACTTCAAGGGACCTGAAAAGTGTCAGTTCTTCCAAGGTGTTATGATAAGGGGCAAGGTGTTTCCTCTCCACTGCCACAACAAGCTCCTCCTCGCCAGTGCTCTTCCTCACGCCAGGACCGCCCCTCAGAACTGTGACTCAGATCCAAGCATGGGCAAAGCAAGAGATTCCTGCCTCAGCCCTGGCAAAGAGATCCTTGCAATCCCCTTCTTATCAGCTACTCGATTCCCCCTCAATCTGTGGGCCAGAAGCTCAGGAGGCAGCTGCTGCCCCAAGGTCACTCTCTGGACTTGCAGCTGTGACCTAGCTTCTTCTCTCACTGAAGGCACAGACTTTTCCCACTGACCTTCTAAGTTGTCTTTGGCGTTCACGGGTTGAGAAGTTTGGAAACCACCACAGCTGCCCGCGTTTCAGCCCCTGAGGCCTACTGCAGGGTCGCTGCCCGGTGCGATATACCTTTCCCGATCAACCATGCAGGTTGTCTTGGGCTGGAAATTTGTTTTACTTTGTATTTTTGTGGGTTCTACTGCTTTAGAATTTGTTTAGAGCCATTATTTATAGGTATTTGGAGGGGTTTGGGGGAGAGCTCTAGCAAGTCACTGCTTTCCCTCTGCCATCTTGGCTCTGCCCCCTGTTAATCCTTTTCTGTGTTTTTTTTACAGGAGAGAGTACCAACTTGAATTCTCTCAGTCATCTCCTCCCCCTTCTAATCTTCAGTTTCTCGCCTTCTCTGATCACCTGCAGCCTCACAGGGCTGTCTTGCCTTCTCCCAGACTCCTTCCCCACAATGTACTAGTTGTGGTATTAGAGTTGGATTACTCCTTGCTCCTCTTTGCTACTTTTAGGCTCTCCCTTTACCACCATCATTCAGTATCCTTGCCTCTTGAGATTCATTCAATTCATATTTATCACCCAGATAGGATTCTGGTAACTGTTTTTCATAGATCTCCAGGACATTTTCCTACCTTCTGTGGTGAATTCAGTGTTTGGCCTGTAGTGTTTCTCTCCTGTGCTAATACTGGGGATCTTCACCATACATAGTGATTTTTCTTCATCTACCTAACTTCCCAATTTCTCAACTTACTCATTTCCCGTGACCTACTCCTCCACTCCACCACATTTATACACAGAGATGGTCATACTCTTGATCTTGCCATTATCTAAAATGTTCCACAATCATGTTCATGATCTCTGAAATTTCTTTATCTGATAATGATCTATTTTTACTTAACCTCTTTCCCTGCCTTTCAACTTCAAACGCTGTTCTTTCTCCTCACTTCAACCTCCAATCTCTCCACCCCTCACTTTTTCTTCAGGCCATTGATTTTGCACTGGTTACACTCTCTTTCCTTCTCTATCTTGGCATTTCAGCCAGTTCATTCTTTCAAAGGTCTTGCCTTTCCAACCCCCTGCCTTATATTACTCTCAGCTTTTGCTCCTTCTCATTTGTTATCAAATGAAGCTGGAGAAAATCACAAAATTGTGCTGGGTAGTCCATTACTAATATAAGTTACAAAATCTCAAGTGGGCCCTCACTGCAGCAAGGCAATCTTTTTACACCTTTTATACCTCCCTATTTAATTCACTGTCCTTCTTACCACAGTGACTTTTTCGAGACCTTTTTATCCTTCCTTAAATCCCCTCAACTCCTTTTGCCTTCTGCCTTCTGCCACTGTCTTCTTCACCCCATTTCATATGAAGAGGTGACTCTTCTTCTTGCCAAGGCAAACCGCTCTACCTACACACACAATCCCATTCCATCCCATCTTCTCCAACAGATTGCCTCCTCTGTCATCTACACTCTCTCACTTATCTTCAATAGCTCATGGTCTATTGGCTACTTCTCTATTGGCTACCATGTTATCTCCCGCATCCTCAAAAACCCCTCATCCATCTATCCCTGTTAGTTATAATTCCTTTTGTGGCTGAACTCCTTGAGAAAGCTGTCTACAATAGCTGTCAGTTCCACTCCATTCACTGTCTTCTTTACTCTTTGCAGTGTGGCTTCCAAACTAATAATTTAAACAAAATTGCTCTCTCCAGTGTTCTTAAATTGCTAAATGGCTAAGGCCTTTTCTCTTTTTGACCTCTGCAGCTTTTGATATTGTTGATCTACCTCTACTCTTTGACACTCTTGTCTCCCTGGGTCACATTGTCATTCCTGATTTTTCTCGTACCTGTCTGACCACTGCTTCTCTGTCTCCTTTGCTGGATCTATATCCTAGTCATGCTCACTAACTGTGGATGTCTCAGCAGTGCTCTGTTTTGGGTCCTCTATCCTATTTCATTTAGTGATCTCATCAGCTCCTGTGGTTTCAGTTATCACCACCATGCAGATTATTTTTAGATTTACTTGTTCAGCCTTAACTGCCTATTAGACATCTCAGACTGGTTGTCCTATAGATTTCTTAAAATCACCATGTCTAAACAGAACTTACCTTCTCCTCTGAATACCTTTTTTCTTTTTTACTTTCACTTACCATAGAAGGTACCACTCTCTTTCCAGTCACTAATCCAGGCTTTTTAAGCCTCTTTAGACTTGGATCCAACCTATCATTAAACCCCATCTTTTTCTCTGCATTCAAGCTAAACTGCTCTTCTCTCTCTCTCTCTCTTTTTTTTTTAAGTGAGGCAATTGGGGTTAAGTGACTTGCCCGGAGTCACATAGCTAGTAAGAGTTAATGTGCCTGAGGCCGGATTTGAACTCAGGTCCTCCCGACTCCGGCCGGCGGGTGCACTATCCACTGTGCCCCCAAGCTGCCCCTCATTCTTCTCTTTGCTATCCACGTTTGGCGGTCCATCTTTCATCTCCCATGTCTTTGCCCTAGCTATCTCTCATATCTGCACTGCGTTCCCTCTCCACCTCCTCTTCATAGCTACCTTCACGAAATTCCTCGAACACCTCTTAGCCAGTGCTTTTCCTGATACTCCCCCAACCGCTCTTGACCTCCCTAACTAACTTGTCTTTAGTTTATATTTTTTTAATTAAAGTTTATTATATTTATAATGGAAATCTATTTTTTCTGCATCCAACCTGCCCACCCATTAAAAAAAATAGACAAATTTCTTTCTTGGCCCCATATGAAAATATATGTATGTCTCATTCTGCACCCTGAGTCCATCACCTCTCTGTCAAGAAATGAATAGCACATTTCATCATCCGTCCTCTGAAATCATGGGTAGTCATTGCATTAATTATAGTTCTTACAACTTTCAAAGTTGTTTGTTTTTAGTGTTGTTGTTTTATAAATTATTTTCCTTGTTCTGCCTACTTCATTCTTCATTAGTTTATAAAAGTCTTCAAAATTGTTCACTTTTATAATTAACATATTATAATATTTATAATATAATAGAGTATAAATTGTTTTTCTGGTTCTGTTTAGTTAATTTCATATCAGTTCATGCAAGTCTTTCCATATCTCTTTCAAATCATCTGTTTCCTCATTTCTTACAGCAAAATAGTGTTCCATCATACTCATATACCACAATGTGTTCAGTCATTTTTATTCTGTGTATATTCATTCTGTATATACTTATATATGTACATGTTTTCTATGCCAATAGAATGTAAATTCCTTGAGTGGAGGGATGATTTCTTTTTTTGTCTTTGTATCCCTGGGATCTAGCATAGTGCCTGCCACATAGTGATTAATAAATTGTTGTTGATTGTTTGGCTAATCATATTATTGTTTTGGTTCACTCTTTCCCTGGTCCCTCCTGATCTGTGAGAATTAATACTTTTCTGATTTGCCCTAGAGGAGTGGTATTAAGTTATATGATAAAGGATAAATAGATCTACTTCTTATATCTCAGTAGAATGAATAAAAAGTATTTTTAATTGCTTACAATATAGAATAAATGTTGTATGCTGATACAGGAGTTTCTCTACTACAGTGCTATTCCAATTTATTGTCATTTGGGAGTGACCCTATGTTGCTGAGGGTAAACAAAAGGGCTTCACTGGGCCTAGTGGCTGAGTGTCTTTTATCTGAGGAGTCTAGCTTAGCTAAATGCAGAGAAACTCATCCCAAGAAGGTTGACTGTCAGATGATTTTTATTTTTTTTGACCTTCACAGTTCATCAACATCACTTGTGTAAGGTATGGAGGAAGGAACACCTATACTCATGAAAGTGCTGAGCTTTTTAAGCACTCAAGTCATATGTACATTAGTAATCTTAAAGAGCTCCAGGCTGTCCAGAAAGGAATCATATGTGAGCCATGGCCTCAGTGCCTTTTAGTGGCTGATGTCATCTTCATTCTGGCCTATTAAGTGGCATTCTCTTTTCCCCTAACCGTAACCCTTACCTCATGACCATCAAAACCCTATTCTGGAATATTAGTCTTTTCATCATTCTTGGATTTATCATGTAGCATTGGATGCATAGTGAAAGGTGATGCAGTGGTGGCCATTTCTTTGGCCCTTAAAATATCTCTTCCTTTTCTTATTCCAAGCATCGATTTTGGCAGTTATATAAAAACTCATTCTGTTGCCTTGATATCCCAATTATGATTTTCTTGTTTCCTATATTTCCCAACAGGCAAAAATGCCTTTTGATGCCAACAAGCTCTACTGCAGTGAGGTGCTAGCCATTCTACTCCAGGATAATGATGGTAAGGTGTCATCCCATCCCTACTATATTGATATTCTGTTAGGTTAGGAGCAAGGCTTGTTTCAGATCATGACTGTGTTTGCCTGCCTTTGGTGTCCCCTTTGCTTTTTCTCTTGCTCTCTCTGCAGCTTTGTACCCTGTCAAGCCATATTGATTTTGTTTGCTGATGTATCAGTGTTAGACGGCTGTAAAATCTGACAGTTAGTCTCATTTTTTTTCTCCCATTATTTTTTTTTCCTTTTTAGACAACAGGGAATTGCTTGGGGAACTGGATGGAATCGATGTGCTTCTTCAGCAGTTATCTGTGAGTAATTCTCATGCTTCCTGCCTGCCATTAAGATACACAGCCTAGTTTAAATGGGAGGTGGGGCCGGAAATAATGGCAGGAGATTTATGACATGTGATGTAAGCAGGTTTGGAGATGTGTTGGCAGGCTGGAGGTTGTTTGCTGTAATCCCATTGGAGGCACATGGTTTGCCTCTGCCTCTGAGCCATTTGCTGTCTAAGCTATACTCGCTTCCCTGTATTTCGTTTTGATTATTATATGCTAGGCAGCTTATGCACAAAAAAAGAGGTGTATCTCAGCTCCCAGAATATCTGGATAAGATACCACATTGTCTTTATTTACTGTGGATCTGATTTTCATATTTGCAATCTTTCTTTCTCACCAAGATGGATTCTATTGATGCAAAGGACTTAAAAGTTCTTTTCTGGTGAGAGAGGAGTGGATTTCAAACTTCTGGAAATGTACTAGATTGGGGTGTAGGGAAAGAATGGTATTTGGAGAATGGTATTATAAGTTGGTGATTGCCCTCTGTAAACAGTTGGGCAAGAAAGACAATTGAAACATTGGTACTCTGACAGCCTCTGAACTAGTAGTTCCCAAATACTGGCAAGATTTCTTCTGGCAAATCTCATTTGAGCTACTCTGAAAACAGAACTGAAAAAGATCTTTTGGATGAAATATTGTGGTTATTGGGGAGTTGCTGAGTTTCCCTGGGGAGTTTGCATACAGCTCCATTTTTGGTGCTGGCAGCATAAGTGACTTGGCTTCATTCTGAGTAGAGAACTGCTAAATATCCATAAATTTCACAGTTTTGGAAGGTGCTTAGTCGTATTCCTTTCAGATTAGGTTTATCTGTAGTAGATCATATAGATGTTCATACATTATTCAGTTTTTGCCCTGGTTATTTCTAACCAGTGGGCAAAAGAGAATAAGGATCAGTTTCTCTCAAATGGAAGTTAGTTAATAGCAAGTGGTAGATTCAGATGATCAAGCTGTGGAACCATGCATGTGAGACTAACTTAAAGTAGCTTTCATGGTTATTTACTGAAAGAAATTCTCTAAGAGCTTGAAGTCTCTGCTGCTGTTTGGAATTGCAGGTATTTAAACGACACAATCCTGGTACAGCAGAAGAGCAGGAAATGATGGAGAACTTGTTTGATTCACTCTGTTCCTGTTTAATGCTTAGTTCAAATCGTGAGCGTTTCTTGAAGGGAGAAGGTCTCCAGCTGATGAATCTCATGCTCAGGTGCGTTGGGCTGATCTTTTGGCTTTGCATCTTTATGGATTCTTTCCCCCGCTATTTTATCAATGTAACCACCCAAGCACTCTGACTAAGGTATTTTTGTGCTATGAGCTTCTTGACCTTGTAACATGTTAAAGTATTTCTCACTCCCTTCACCTCTCCCCCCACCCCATCATGGTGTTTGAACTTCTTTTAATAGCTTCTAAGGGACAAAGTCATTTTGAGCTATTTATCACTCATCGTTACATCTTATTCTTATTAAATCTCTATTAGGTTTGGTGATACTTGGTGTTTTTCTTTTCTTGAATACAGGAGTGTCTGGAAATTCTAGTGATTGATTTGCTTCTTTAAAGTTAGACCACATTTTTCTTATAGTGTTCCCACCCATATTTGTATTTTTTTTGTAATTTTTAACATATTATGCCAGGCAGCTATTGTTGTTGTTTGTCCTTCATTCTTGAAGAGTACCATGACATCAGGAAGGTGATGCCAACAATGCAAGTGAATTGGATTTAAGTGTGGGAGGGCTGTGCAGGGTTACCAGCCTCACTTTTCCCTCCAGAGCCGTCTAGGTCCAGTGGCAAGATACAGATCAGGACACCTGGAGATGGCCCCCTTTCTTCCGCGCCGCCCCCCCCCCCCGGCAGCTGGGTGTCACAGTGGATAGAGTATTGGACCTGGAATCAGGAAGACATGAGTTCATGTAACTACTTTGCCTCAATTTCCTCATCTATAAAATGGGGATAATAATAGCACCTACCTCCCAGGGTTGTTGTGAGGATCAAATGATCCTCATAGATTATAAAGTACTTTGCAAACCTTAAAGCACTATATAAATGCTAGCTGCTACTACTACTACTACCACCACCACTACCACCACTACTACTATTATTCCATATAACTATATTTTACAAGATTGTATGACTTCAGAGTTGAAAGGGGCCACATTGGTCATCTCCTCCAGGACCACATCTAATCAGTAATCCCCTGTACAAGAGTCCTTGACAGGGGTTCTCCTATGTTCAGTTGATCACTTTTCCTGTCATGATTCTCATAACTCCAGTGATTCATAGAACCTGGGGATAGGTATTAGAGTTCATTTTTCCCAAACACCTTATTTTCCAGATGAAAAAATTGAGGACAAAAGAGGGGAAGCTACTTACCCAAAATCAGTGTGTAAGAGACAGTGCCAAGACCTCAGTCCAGGAGTCCGTCTGGTGCCCTTCCCAGTGTGCCACTGCACCTTCCAATTGTTGGATAGCAGTGATTGTGAGTTCTTCATATTGAGTCACACAATGTGCTTCCCTGGGACTTTAACCTGGAGATCTTCTTTAAAGGAAAACATTTCTAAAATCTTTCTTATAAAGCATAATTGTCAACAGTGGGCCAGGTATGATCCCATGCTCAAGTAGTTAAGCTTATTGTGGGAAAAGGTTTTTTTTTTTTTAAATGGTATTTGGATAAAATGAGTTGCCATTTGGGACATTGGCAAATATTTAGTAGATCATGGGCAAGGGTCATATAGAATGGGAAGGAGTAGAGAGGCTGTGATTTATGCTTGTTGGAAGGAGTACCCACAAGTAATATCAAAAACAAGTAGATAAGGGGCAGCTAGGTGACACAGTGGATAGAGCACTGGCCCTGGTGTCAGGAGGACCTAAGTTCAAATCCGGTCTCAGACAGGTAACACTCACTAGCTGCATGACTCTGGGCAAGTCACTTAACCCCAGTTGCCTCACCAAAAAAGCAAAAAAAAAAAAAAAAAAGTGACTCCAAGGTCTCTACTGTTTGGTTGACTCTTTTTCTAATAATATTCTCTTAAAGCCTCTGGATTGTTTATCCCTGTTAGCACTCTGATTGTCTTTATTTTGTTGAAGTGGCCACACAAAATAAATTAAAAAGATGCTTTCTAACCTTAGAACTGCATTCTTTGGGGACCTTTCCATATTGTCTGAATTGTGCTAAGTTGCTACTGTCTTCCAACTGTTGTGTGCAAATATGAAGTGATGCATTCCTGTAGCATATGGTTTCGTAATGTGCAGTAGTGGGAAGCTGAATAAATAACCAGAAATAGATTATTCAAACAGGAATGTTCAGATTTTTTTAAAGATAATTATAAACCAAAGCTCCAAATCAAAAGGATGAAGGACTCCACTTCTCAAAGATCTTTGAACTTTTAAATTTTAAATGCTAAAGTTGATGCTGTGTTTATCTTGAAACTCTAATTAGCTGAATTGCCTGACTCAGCATTTCCTTTTTCTTCTCTTTTGGTCTTGGTTGTTTCTCTTCTGCAGCCTCTGAAATGGGGGGTTTAATTGGGAAGATTTTTTTTTAAAAATAATTATACCATGCCCGACTGAAGAGAGCCACTAAATTGTTTTCAGAAAACCTAGAACTGAATGCAATTGCATAATTTTAAAGATTAGGAAACTGAGGCCTTGAGAGGTAAAGTGACTTGCCCAGAGTCACATTGCTAGTAAGTGGCAGATCAAGGAGCTGAATCCAAGTTATCCTTAAATATAGGGCACTTTCCACTCTACCCCACTGCTCACCACACACTTCAGAAAGTTCTTCCAGGATAGTATGTGTTATAAAGGAAGAGACAATTGAAATGGGCCCTGGCATCCAGAAATTGTTTTGCCTCCACATTTGCAAATTCCAACTTCTTCTATGTTGGTAGCAAGTGACTTGGATGTGAGGAACATTGCTTTTCCCTTAGTATGACTTATTACAGTAATAACTTGTGTAGGATTCAATTGCCTGGCCATTAAATTTTGTCAGTGACATCAGATTTTGGTGCAGTTTGAGCTATTGAGGCAGCTAGGTTGGGCAGTTGATAGAGTTCTGGGCATAGAATCAGAAAGACCTGAGTTCAAGGTAGAACTCAGATATTCACTAGCTTTATGATCCTGGGCAAGTCACTTAACCCTTTGTTTGCCTCAATTTTCTCAACTTTAAAATGGGGCTTTTGGGAATACCTGCCTTTCAGGGTAGTTATGAGGATCAAATGAGATAATATTTGTAAAGTGCTTAACATAGTACTTGGTAGGTACTCCTCCCTCCTACCCCTTTCTATCTCCCTTTCTCCTCACCCTTTCCCTTTCCGCTCCCCACCAATCCTTTTGTTGTTTCCACCTGGACTACTGTGTTAGAGGTAGTTTTTGTCTTTTCACACCATTAGGAAAACTCTGCTGTTGTTGACTATTACCAAATGTGAAGTCTAGGGAACTGCAGGCCTTCTCTTTGTCATTTTTTCCTTGCCTAGTAAAAACAAAACAAACAACCAATCTGTTTTTTTTTTTTCTGACCCTCAATGTGTCCTCGTCTCAGTGAAGGAAAGCTGAATATTTTGTAACTATAATTATCCATCTCAGCTTCCAGGAGCAGATATGGAAATGCATCGCCTTCCTTTTCACTGGAGAGGTGGGAAGACCTTGGGTTGCAATACTGCGTATGCTGTCAGATGGGATTGTGGTAGGGTTGGTTTTTCTGACCTGTTTTCCTTTGTTGTAAGAGAAGGCTCATCACAGGAGTGGAGTGGGCAATTGGTATACTTAGAAATGACTATGAGGTAAAACTAAAAGCCATCAATAAAACTTTTTTATAAGAGAATGAGATCTTGGAAGACTACATTTTAACATATTTTAAAATTGCAAAAGTATTCTGGTTTATCTGTTCTAATAACTTTTTAAATTTTGGTACTAGTTCCCTGAGGCATTTTCAAGAAGGGTACATTTAAAAAAAAAGAAATAAGAGAAATGTCATAAACATATGATCATATTTAGATCTGGAAAGATCTATGAGATCACATGGGCACAATCCATGCCTTTATGGAACTTAAAATTTAATTGAGGAATAAGCATACACAGGTAACTAAGTGCATTAGAGAGGTGCAAATTTCAGTTTTAGCACCTAATGAACCGGGGTTTTCACACCATTGTGGGATCAAATTACTTGCAAGTAACACCTTTTATGCTAATTGTATTGTAGGTTGAAAGTGTTATTTTCAGGAAAACATTTTACAAACAAAAAGTTGAAAAGGGACCTTGTTCATCATCCAGATCAGTTTCCTATTTTATATACAGGAAACTAAGACCAGGTGAATCTGGGTGCCCCTCATAGAATAAGACATACTGAATATTTTCTTAAATCATTAGGCATATGAAAAACTCTGAAGAGCGGAGCTGGTGGGCTGTATAATGTTGTTGCTCTTGCAGACGTGAAGGTGAGGTTACTTCCAGGGTCAGTATGGTGTGGTAGAAAGTGTGCTGGATTTGGAGTCAGGTCCAAAGGCACCTCTGGCACTTGAAGGCTGAATACGGACAAGGAGTGAGTCGTGGACACTCTGAACAGCTATTCACCTGTAAAAACAATATCTGCATCAACCTCACAAGGTAGTTGTAAGGATCACGTGGGAAAATAATGTAAACAAAGTGCTTTACAACCTGCAAAATGTTAGACAAACATCACTTGTTAAAATGCTGCCATGCACAGGGTTTTGTGAGAATATATTAGTGTCTTCAGTAATAGGGCACTTTTTTTACTCTTTGGGGTCACCAGTTTTAAAAAGGGCTTTGGAGTTTAAAAAGAGATTTGTTTGTTCAGCCAGTCTTTTTAATGTATAGCATGTGCTCAGCACTGTGCTAGGCCCTTTAGGGGTATGTAGGGTGTAGCACACAGAATATGAAAGTTAATATATAATCTTTCAGAATGCCCACCATCTTTTTGTTTAGGGAAGATGTGTAAGCTAATGCCAAAAATTAAGATGATTTGGCAGTTGTTCCTGAAAGAGGGAGTCTCTAATTAAAGCAAAAAAAAAAAAATCCTGTTTCCTATGCTGGGATCTTTCTAATTGTATTTCAGTAATACTTCATGGATCTGTGATTTAATCAATATGAGTGTCCTCTTTATCAGTACAGATCTGGATCCCTTATATCTCAGTAAATGTTCCATGGTTGCTGTGGCTGAAAAAAATAATCATTTGGTGGCCAGTGATTATTCTT